TTTTTCGAATGACAAATCTCTCTCTCTCTCTCACTCTCTCTCTCTCTCTCTCTCTCTCTCTCTCTCTCTCTCTCTCTCTTTCCCTCTCTCGTCCGATTCATACAGGATTAATGCGGACGATGGTCTCGCGAGCGACCACGCGGTGAGTCCGCACCTCACACACTCTGAACCCACACTCGTACGACTCACACTCTCGCTCGCATTGCGATGAGAGCGTTTCGAATCCGTGTTACGCGAGCACCACTAAAAATATTATGGTCCTACGTAATGCATTACGGTAATGCGATTGCACGACTCGCGCGTAACAGCTTTTATACTCGAGTACGTTCGAGATAAGGCGAAGTGTTTTTAGCGACAATTTATAACGCGACCATTCTAGTCTACCTCCTCACATTCTTTCCCCTCTTATCCTCTACCTCTGTCCTCTACTTCCTCCTTTTGTTATTTTCTCAAATGTTTTTGCATGACTAACGAAGCAAAATCAATTGAATGTTCCGCTAATCACAAGAATTTACGTTTCTATCAACGAAAGGAAGATTAATTTCTTGGATAGTGAACGCAATCTCTCGTTTCACATCGTGGATTCCAGGTTGTTTCGCTAAAGTGACCACTTTATACCGAAGTCACGTAATAAATTAACGTTTATCGCCGGCTCGATATCGAATGCGGTACGTTGCTCGCTTCTTTCTCCGTGTTATCGTAAAACTCGGGATGTACCTATAAGCTTTTATTCACGGTTCTTACATCGGGTCAAAGGAGATTTAAACGACACGTGATTTGTGATTTAGGTTTACCAGATTGTCACGCCCTCTTCTTTCGTGTTCTCGTTTCGATTAATCAACATTAAGATTATCCATTTCTTTCACGTCTACGCATTCAAAATGTATGTTATGTATGTACATATGTACGCACCTCTATGTCTTTCCTTCTTTCATTGTAGGTTCGTGTTACCAGCGAAAAATGACGAGAAACATGCGAGATCGACCGGTTAATTTCAGACTCGAATTAAGATGATCGTTTTAATATGAGAACCTCATCGTCGATCGTTGCAAGTTTTTTTTTTCCCTCGGAACCACTTCCGTTAACGCTTACGAGAACGGAATACAAAGTTTTATCGCTCTGCTCCAAATTCTATGTTACCTAGTTTCATTTTTCTTTCAATCACGATACCCATGAATCAACGATCACGATCTTTTTTCTTTCCTTTCTTCTCGTTTTTTTTTTTTTTTTTTTATTTTTACAGTGCGATACAAAAACGTGATATCGAAAATTTACCGGTAAGCTTTTCGATCAGAAACTGCGAAGGTTGCAGTTGACACGATAATCGAATTGACGCTACGAATCGAGCGCATTCAGAATTCATTTCGACCTTAGAAATTCTTTCTTCCCGCACGCGATTAAAAATTTTATGTTTCATTATTCCAGTCGGCTCGTGCCGTATGTTAATTTGATTATATCAGCGAGAGAAACGACACGGATTTAATATGGTGCGGAAATGCAATTATTCGTATATCGTTTTTAATTGAAGTACGTCGATACGTTATAAAAAGTGTCGTTAGAAATTGAATTCGCACAAAAATATTACTAGTCAAAGCTGTATTACCAATTTTTTTTTTTTTATCCCCACAAAATTCCTATGACGAATTGCCTTTTTTTTGGATTAGTATTTGATGCAAAACAAAAGAACAACAAAAAATGTATATATATATATATATATATATATATATATATATATATATATATAGGTATACAATATATATATATATAGGTATACAAATAGTCTATCTATTTTTTAACGCCACTTGATCTATAAATGTTTCAAGTAAATTACGATGGTTACAACGAAATTTTACCTTCTCTAACATTTACCATCCACTCTGATTTATCCTGAAACAAGTGGAGAAATACATGGTAGAAACTCGCACCTTTTCGCGTTACATTTTTGACAATGTTTCTCGCGCAAAGCCTTTTGAAAAAAGCGGACTACATCGAGAAGCTTTTCTAACCCTTACTCGTTGCGCTTCTATACGATTCACAATCAACGAACGAGATTAGCGAGCATCTGCAACGTTCCGCTCGAAATCCAGGATAGAATGCATATACGGAAATTGTTGTACATCGTTACATGTATCGATACGCGAGTTTACACTGTGGATTTTGTCGATTGTCATCAACTACCAATTGGGAGTTCGCTCGTCGTCGATTTTCTTCGACAAAAATGACGGATTAACGATGATCGAAGAGTACGATACGATGAAAGAGATCTAATGCCGATAAAAATCTGTTCTTCTTCTTCGTTTAATAAAACAATCGATCTTTCTTCATTTACGACATTTTATTCATTTAATACATTTGTCACACATTATTTTTACGTTAACGTCAACCCAAATATTAATCCTAGATTAAATATTTATCCGATATGAACCGGCGAGTTTATACTGCGTGAGAAAATTTCGATAATCGATGATCTATTTAAAGTCTGACATTTTCATAAACTTCGCTATTTTGCTCATGTATCAATATAATAGAAATAAAGCGATCGTGCGAAATCTGGAGCATCATTATACATCTTATATTCAAAGAAATACTTGGAGAAAAGTTCAAAAGGTTAACCCAGAGATATTATTAATCGTAAACTTTTTAAGACATGAAAGTATAGTTTTTGTCGAAAAATGTCTGACGAAACGACTAAGGCGCGGCAAGATTTAATCTTTCGAGTCTCTTTATAGTCACGAACGTTGGGTTTGTTTTCAACGAGTATAATGAGTAATATTTAATTCCATGTGTGACAAGGTACGACATAAATTATTCCGTAAATCGTAAAACTATAACGATTTTCTTCATTTCTTTCGAAAACACACATAGTTGTTATTCGTTTTTTAAATGAAAAATATCTAGGGCAAAGATAATAAGATTACTTTTTTCTTTAATTTATTTTTAACTCTTTAAAGAAAAAAAAAAAAAAAAAAAGAAAAAAAATAAAAAAAGAAGGAACGAATAAAAGAGAGGAGAAAAAAGAAAAAAGAGAACTTAGGAAATATATATTCGTCATTTAAAATAATTGATGAGTTGCTGATTAATAGGTGGTAGACTTTTAAAAGTTTAAAATGCATTCCGATGTGAAAGAACGTTCCCTTGGTGAGCACACATCAAAGTGGATTTAGCGAGTTTCGATGTAAATAGCCTCGATTACAGCGACATGCTTCACCACAATCCCGGTACCCGCTTTTACGCGTCGTGGAAAAGTTCGTTTTAATTTGCCTCCTCTACCGAAACGTTAACGGTGGTCAGGGAAAAGGGACGTCGGTTGCAGGGACCAGAGTGAAACTACGGGCGAAAGGGACCGAACAAAATATCGATCCTGCGTGACGTCCGCACGTTTAAGCCGTGCTTTTGCGTCGCCGCGAGTTACGCGTTCCTTCAGGTCTTCCCATCTTAAAATCAAATCGTACTTCTAGCGAAGAAACCTTCGAAAGTTTCACAATTTTTCATATTTATTCATTCATTCATGTTAGAAAAGTTCGTGGAAAAGAGAAAGAGAAAGAGAGAGAGAGAGAGAGAGAGAGAGAGAGAAAGAGAGAAAGTTAATATTTGATTGGTATCGAGGGATATCAATCTTTTAAAAGTAACTTAACGTGTATCTAAGCTTAAAACCTAATTACTACGAATAATCCAAAGATTTTATCGAAGAGTTCTTACAGAGGATAATTTAAACTCGAGTGCATTTGAGAAAGATGAAAATAAGAAGAAACATTCTAATTCATGAAATTAATAATAAGAAGAGAAAAGAAAGAAGAGAAAAGAAATAAAAAGAAGAGAAAAGAAAGAAAAGAGATCAATATTCGAGGATTTTTTTTTCTATTTTCTGTTTTTTTTTTTTTTCTTTTTCTTTCATTTTCTTTTTCATTAAAAGATAAACAAATTCGAGACTGTCGAAAGAGAATTGTTGATAAACTCGATCGAAAAGGACACGATCGTTAGCTTCGATGAAGCAGATACGAATGGAAGATAACGAAGGAAGAAGAGACACGAAGAAGAGTAGGGATATAAAAGAAGAGCTGACGGAGAAAAGACGGTATAGTATAATGGCGATAAGGATGGAAACCTGAGCAAAAGCTTTAAGACAAGACTACGGCGAAACAGACTTTTAACGCGAGTCTACTTTGTCGAGTAGATACAGGACGGAATATACAATGCTTCCTTGATAGACTACTCTATACTGCACGATGGTCTCACGGTTCTATATAGTTCGCGAAGTCATTCTCCGTATCGTTCGTCGAGCCACTTCAACCGAGAGAGAAAACAAGACGCTTCGGCTTTACTGCCTGTTCGAGTCGCACCATTACCGCCTTTTACTTCACGATCGGAGACAAATCTTACTTGAAAGCTTTATCCGACGAAAGAATCGTCTAACGATTTCGTCCATATTTCATCGCTTGGCACGGCCACGACCTACATACCGTAAGGTACTTACATAGATCATCCATAGATAGAGTACATTTAGATTCTTTATTATAGACTATTTGTACTAGAGGGTATAGTTATTATATAAAAATAGAAACAACTATTACTGCCAATGTCATTGATATTTAAACGTATGGATTAAATTCATTTTTTCTTATTTGAAAATTAGATTATACGAATGTTTTAAAAGAATTTCGTAAACACTCGAATGATCTATATATTATTGATATTATTGTTAAGTACATAACGCTAATTTTCGAAAATACCAATGAAAAGGAATGAACTTTTCTAATTAACCGAGTTTTCGAGATTTTCTTATTGACTTGAATATCGAGAGGAATTTATTCAATACCCATGCTCTATATACAGTATACATATATATATATATACACATCATTCGTAACGTATCTTTCGGTGTAACAATTTGTAAATATAGGATATAGAAGATCGTTAAATTTGTTTCCATCTCGGTCGATAAAATTCATAAAAGTTTGATTAATTTTGTCATTGATGAATATTACCATGAGAACATGTGT